GATGGTTTTATTGTCAAATAACATGGTTAGCTCATCTCGTGACCTGAAACAAAATAATTTATACATGTGGTTGTGCCACTTATTGTGATATTGACTTTATCAACGTTTTTTGCCAAGAAAAGACATACAGTAATTTTATGAAAGATATAACACACAAGAACAAAATTTATGTAACATTGCTTAAATTAAACAAAATGATTTCAATATTTCGATGTGGATGTTAAAAAGTATTTAATCAAATTGTGAATGGCGGAACTTAAGACGTCTCTGCCACCGGTTATTTGATTGTATGCCAGAAACTCTGTATTAAATACTAACTGGCTGGACTGTTCAATTCACGGATACATTTTATTGGTCAGCTTAAATGCTGAAAGTTTCATATATCCCCTGATAGTTCGATAACGTAGACTTGAGTTGTCAGGGACGAACCTGACCTTCTGCCATCGACAGCTAGAATCTTTGACTGTTATCATATCTCTTCGCTCAGTTGATGAAGCTAGTGACATTTCTAAACTAGCCGTCTCCCAGGACGGACAAAAACATATATGCCTCTCTATTTCTAATTTTCCGGGCGCTTTGCTTGAGAATAAACCAGTATCAATTTCTACCTCATCAACCGCCAACAATCGGCGCACAACAATAACACAATCTCACAACGTTCACGAAAAAACGCTATCGTGGATAAAACGAACACAGAGTGTATCAGTCACGAAGCTTTCAGACTTTCGAACAAAAGACTCGCATTATATCATGTCTTAAAGCAAGCTAACTAATTCTTTGATGAAATGCTTTATGAATTTTCATGAAATCAACGAAATCATCTCTAATTCTTCTCTGTCATCGTCCATGGATTAATTTTGGCAGCGGCGTCTTTTTTCCGTTTTTGACAGTGCCACTTGTTCCATCTTTTGATATTAACCACTCTATCATTTCAACGATTGCCATTGGTGCCCGAGATGTTACGAGACGACCTGCCGCCCGTCCGTCACAATGGCGGACCATGACATCTCACAATGGCGGCGAGTTCCCCGTTGAATACCCCCGCTTATTCAACCCCAGCCAAGATTACTCATAATAGGAACTGTCCCTCCCAGTTCTCATTCCACCCAAGATTGAAGTTTTAATGGAATTGTTGAATGGGATGTGCCCTGTGCGGGCGAAATTGCTTTTCCGAAGATTAAAAGCTAATTTGAAACCTTTTTGAGTAATGGCGTCAGTGATTGACCACCTGACGGCCACTAGAGGGAGCTGGTCACCACGTGCTGCTTAGGCAACACGTGCAACTAATGCGATTGACACTAGGGGTTATGTCAACAGGCCATTGAGAAAGAAAAACACAAGATGACATTAATACTGCACTTATTAACATATTACTGTTTATAGAAAAAACAGCAGTCAAATTATTGTCTGTGACGTACAAAAAGTATTATTCAGAATATCTTTTTCCAAACCATGTAATTACTGATTTTATGCTATAGACATTCATACCTAGTTTTTCTTGACATCCACGACCCGTGAAGATCCGGGTTAGAATTGATCTTCAGCAACCCATGTTTTTTGTAAAAGGCGACTAACAGGATCAAGTGGTCAGGCTCGCTGACTTCGTTGACACATGTCATCGGTTCCCAATTGCGCAGATCGATGCACATGCTGTTGATCCCTGGATTGTCTGGTCCAGACTCGATTATTTACAGACCGCCGCCATATAGCTGGAATATTGCTGAGTGCGGCGTAAAACTAAACTCACTCACTCTTGATATTCACCAAACGCGAATGCTTTTCTTCAAAATGTAGACTCGATTTCTTGGATAGAAAGATGTGAATTGCTACCATTTGTTCATTGGGATGTTTCGTAGTGAGGATGTTTGATCACGGGTATGCAGTTTATACAAATGTAGTAAAAATAAACTCAACTCACTCACTCTTGATATTCACCAAACGCGAATGCTTTTCTTTAAAATGCACCCGATTTGGGGATAAGAAAGTTGTTACTCCCAGTACCATGGTGGCATTTATATTCAATTCTTTTTTGTCCACTTATTTGTCTAGAAAGAGATGGAGATGGAAATAATGAAACCTCTGAATTAATGTATGGAAATGACTAGATATGTTCAAATAGACTATTACTAGATCTTTCCTTCTTATTCTTGCAAGTGATAGACGGATGACATGATCAATTGTAATGTCATTAATGAGTGAAAAAGGTCGATTTATCGCGCTTTGAGAAAATGTAACAATTTTATACCATTCATGATATGTGTTACGTTTTAAACTATATTCTATTTTAAATCTATTGTACAGTTTGACTTGTAAAGTCTCTCCTAATTCCGTGCGGAATGGCCCTATATACATTTATTTCATGAACTGTATCTATTTGTGTTTTAGTTATTGCATGAGGGGTGAGACTCAAACAAACAATCTGCCTGTAACTATGAACAAGTGCGTGTTAAAGAATAGTTTGTACCATATGTATTTATGTACCGTCGGTATCTTTATCATGTCCCACGAACCCGTGAAGGTCCGGGTTAGAATATTGATCTTCAGCAACCCATGCTTGTCGTAAGAGGCGACTAACGGGATCGGGTGGTCAGGCTCGCTGACTTGGTTGACACATGTCATCGGTTCCCAATTGCGCAGGTACATGTCACATGATGTAGAGATGCACGATGCACGGTACATGTCACATGATGTAGAGATGTACGATGCACGGTATATGTCACATGATGTAGAGATGCACGATGCACGGTACATGTGACATGATGTAGAGATGCACGACGTATTTTTGAAGATAAACAGACTGTATCTCCAGGAATATATGTAAACCGAAGCCTACATTAGCAATAGCTTGTGTGTTGCCCTTTGCTGGGAAACACTATTATCACTAATTTTTCAATGAAGAGTTCTATCTGCCGGAAATAGAAATGGATCTTATTTCTGGATTCATATTTGGTTTCCCTAAAGCCATCATTTCAAAATGTCAAACATACAAAGGATAATTTTTACGTTATTTCGTTTCAAATTCATTTCAAAGAATAACACTTTCAACCTTCTAGAAGTAGGTTTATCAGAAGCCATATATATCTGTACATTGAGGAGATAATAGGATCAAGCCAACGCATTTTGATAGTCATGATAAATATCCCCTTTTAAGAAACCGCCTCCGTGGTGTAGTGGTTAGAGCGTCCCCCGGAGAGCAGAAGGTCGCAGGTTCGATCCCCGACCGCGTCATACCAAAAGACGTTAAAATATGGTACTTGTTGGTCCCTGCCTGGCGCTCGGCATTAATGAGTAAAACAAGGGCTGGTCGGCTCGGAGTCAGTATAATGTGTCTGAGTGGGGTATCCATGCTTCACTGCGGTATGTTATCTCAGTGAGCTAGCACTATAAAATCAGCATAGGCTAGTCCAAGCAACCACACAAACACACGTCGACATATGAGCCAAATATTCTAAGTGCGACATTAAACCCCATTTCACCTCACCGTGAAAGAATGAGTATTGCTTTATGCCGCTTTTGGCAGAACAGAACCGCTATCGCGGATACCCCCTGGATGTTTTGGTACAAAAACGAGAGAAAACGTTCTTTTCGAACATTTTTTTCTTGTTCTTTTCTGATCTTTATCTTTGAAAAAATATCCTTTATTTCTTTAATTGCATGTTGTTTTTCGGACGGATGTATTACTTTGTGGTAAAGCGATCGTGCGTTACATCATTTTATCATCGAAAACTGGCCGTTATAGGATATATCGCCTGGTTTGAGGTCTTCTTGGAGATGTTGCTGCAGTAAGATTGGATCACAATGATTCGGAAGTTGCGTTTTTACACGCGAGACACTTGTCATTTCTGTTTACTAACGTTTAAAAAGTTGAAAGAATTATGTTAGCTGATAGAGTCAGACCCTCGTGTCTCTTGATATCAACGATAACACTTGCTGATAATAGTTTTAAACCCTTTACGTCGGGTTTATATTTGATATCACACAACACAAGCGTGAAAATCTGTATGTCCACATTTTTCAAGATCTTTTTTGCTCGTGATGATATGTCGGGTATCAAAAGATGCGAGGGTTAGATTCACTCGTCGGTAATTATATAGATTCGTGCTGATATACAGTAATACGTTTACAACCAGCGTTCGAAATTAACGTCGGTCCTTAGGTCCGAGGCCGACTGAAAACCACTCGGACCCACATTTTTTTGTTTTCTGCTGGTCCTTATGGCCTTGTTTGCTGGGAATTACTTATATTGTAACTAAATATAAGGCCTACACATTCTGATCAGGACCCACTTTTCATGGGCCTGGGTCCTTAGCGCCTGCATCTTTTCAGGGTTAAGGGCAAACACTGTAAACAACGATCTCAAAGGGACCAGTAATTTTAGTTCGTTATTACCTAAATCGTTCATGTATTTGGATTAAAATATTTTGCAAAAGACAGGGACCAAACATTCACACCAGTTCGTTATATCCGTCAGTTCGGTGTAAACGTAGTTAACCTTAGTTTATATGGGAAGACACGAAAGTGAGATTCTCAATGTCACTTAATGTCATAATTTCCTGACATTAATATGATGTTTCTACTGTAATAATTATGAAATAAGATTAATCGTTATGAACGTAATCTACCGTTTATGCTCTATTTATTGTATGTATATATGGAGACACAAAAGTTAGATTAATTCTCACTTAATGTCATAATTTCCTGACATTAATCTGATGTTTCTGCAGTAATATTTATGAATAGTTGTTAACATAATCCACCGTATATGCTCTACTTATTGTATGTCTATATGGAAACACTAAGGTGGCATTCTCAATGTCTACACTTAATGTCATAATTTCCTGACATTAATCTGATATTTCTAAAGTTATAATTATAACTAGTTATTACCTCATATGCTCTATTTATTATTGTATGCATATATAGACACAAAGGTGACATTCTCAATGTCTACACTTAATGTCATAAGTTCATGATATTAATACGCTGTTTTACTGTTTCAGTGTTAATCATGGCTGCCGGGCTGCTGATGTATCCCCTTGGTTTCTCGACGCCATTTTTCCAGTACTACTGTGGAGAAGCCGCTGGACCCTATTCGACTGGACACTGTCAGATTGGCTGGAGCTACATGTTGGCCATCATGGGCGTGTCGCTGTCCATCTTTTGTCCAATACTGTCCAACTTCGCTGACGTCAAGTACGACGAGGACGATTATTTGGCGTTTGTATGACGTCATGTGTGACGTCATTCTGACGTCATAAGTGATACGGAACAAACTGAATTCGATTCACGTATCGCATGTGATAACATGTATTATGTCATTAATGACATCTAAGATGTATATTTTCCTATGTACAGACAATGGATTACTGTAGAAATTATCATAAGAAAAGTTTAGCGTTGAAGCCTACGTCCCTGTTTCTCCGAGGCAAGGGGTTAACTGATTATGAAAGTCCAATTTCCTCCCTTGCCTAACTGGGTTTCAATTTCACAGTTATAGTTTGGCTGCACAAACGAGTCTTTGTATAGTCCGATCAAAGTCACGTGACAAAATCAACATCCGCTTCGTAAGCAACATGGCGACTACCGCTCAGATTTCAGTCAGTTGCAGGATTTGCAAATCATTTGTACCTTTAACTTGCCGTCGACGGATAATTTCCAAATCTTTCCACCAAGGTGCTCAAGTGTTGTGCTACAGTCCACTACTAGGGGGTCTTGGCGTCATTTCACTAGGTGCCAAACAAGGAATGAAAACACGTTTTTATCGATTAACTCGACCCCATTGTCATGGCCAAGTTAACGCTTAGTCTCTGAATAAATATAATTTTGATAGTAACAAATAAACCCCAGTGAGATGGGAGATTCGGAACCTGAGGAAATCTAGACTTGCTTCATTTAGAGTTTTAGCATTGCAGGGAAGGGTAGGTAGTATGGGAAATAATGTGGTTTATGGACTGAGAGACAGACATGTCATGGCCGGGCGCCATCGTTTTGTTTGATATGAGAGACTGATTCTGATTGGTCAGTAGGAAGAACATTGAAGGAACGTAAGTCGCAATAGTCACTTGTGGCGCTACTATCGTCACTGAATCCCATCCTCGGTGGAAACTGGACTTCTGTTGTCACTAAACTCCCTTGCCCATGGAAGATGTTCGTCCTTTAAAAAACCCAACTCTTCCTCAATAACATACTTTAGTACTGTCAGCATTACAATGGAGATGTTTGCCTGTACTTGTCATGAGCCATCTCCTGAAGCGTCTCTTGTCAATGGAAATGTGATGAAGAAGAAAGCATATTGACCGACTGGCGGCGCCTGTGAAACATCAAAATTGACCCGGGTCATGAAACAACATTTGATCTGTTTTACCATCCAGTTTTTACCGTCAAACAAGATTTATTTATCTTCCACGTAAAGCTTCTCAATTCACAGAAGACCAATCGACAACCATCTGACATTGGCACCAGAACTTTGAAAGCGATCAACCGTCAAGAAGCGTAAAAAACCATGTCCAAAACCTCGCGGAAAATAGGTGATAAAGTGCTGCTTGATGAACTGTTTGAATTCAGATCTGCTTGATCCTCAAAGGAAGAAACACGATCTCGGAATGTATTATATATGTGTGATAAGTGCAATGGACAACTGTTGTCAAGTTCCTATTATTTGTATATTTTGTGTATTTACCGTATAACATTGTGCTATGTTCCTTCATTGGTGTTTCTTGTACATACACGTGTGCGCTGTGTCCAAACAGGAATACACTGTGGTAAATGGCACCTATACTTGATAGGGGTTTGTGCTGAATGAGACCAAAGGTATTTCAACACAGATAAACATGAATACAGATCATGAAGTCAGGGGGTCATGAATATTTAGGGGAAATTTCCTTCAAATTATGTCTTCTCAACAAAATAAATATTGAAAAAATATTTAATATCTTTAGGTTTCTTTGTTTAGTATATAAAGATGGTGATATAACTTATTATGCAATTCAATACTCTGTCATACCAGTCCAAACAAAACTGAATAATACCATACATATACAGTGAAACTTCGTTAGTACGGACACCTCACATTCAGGACGACGTTGTTATGTACCTCCATATAATTGCAACACCACTGCGTCATTGCCATGATTCGTTAAACCGGACATGTCTAAACCCGGACGATTTTACCAGGTAAGACCGGATAAACGAGGTTTCGTTGTTTACATTTCATAACTATAATTAAACATAACTTATTGATATTTCCTGATGTGAGACAGTGAGTTTAGTTTTACGCCACACTCAGCAATATTCCAGCTATATGGCGTCGGTCTGTATATGAATAATCAGACTAGACCAGATTTCTGATGTGATGTAAACGTCATGAGTTAATTTGAAATAAATCAAATAATAATATTTCATTATATGAAGCAAAGATTAATCATATATCAGGTTATTACTCGTGACAGCTTGTGTTACATTGTCTGTCATCATCCATCTCGACATCCCTCATGTTCGAGCAGTTTCACTTCAGAGTCTCGAGTTATTGGACACGTGTTATTTGAGTGTCGGACATGTTGCTCACATAGCCGAAAAAGACACAAAAACGTATTTGGTGACGATCTGATATGTCGACTGTAGACCTGTCGTTTTGATCAACGCTTTGTACAGTTTAATTAATGCGAATATGGCGTCTCGCTGTGAGATATTCGTGTTTCAAGATATTCTTTTGCACTGATGTTTTATATTTACGTGAAGATTTACGTTCGAGAAGTCCAAATGTTATATCAAGCATTAAAAAAACATTAAATGTGTTTTTAAGAAATAAATGATGATACGATTGACACGTGCTTGTTACAGTGTTCTTTTCCTCACGTCAGAATGGTGACATGGTAAGATTGTGTTCTGTGGATTGTCAACGACGAATATAAGAACAGAATGACATGGCGACATTTGTATCTGGCCGGGGAACGGTGGGGGTAACCTCGTGGTTAAAGCATTCGCTCGTTATGCCGAAGACCCGGGTTTGATTCCCCACATGGGTACAATGTGTGAAGCCCATTTCTGTTGTTCCCCGCCGTGATATTCTTGAAATATTGCTAAAAGCGACGTAAAACCACAACTCACTCACTCACTCCATCTGGCCGGTGACTACTTTGGCGTTATGTCGAGTTGGCATTATAACGAAATATAGTAAAATGAAGTCTGGGTTACTATATTATATTTTATACTATGTGTGAGTGTGATGTGGTTTACTCATCTTTGAAGATAATTCCAGTTACATTTCGGCGAATCAACTAAATGTTTGATCAAAGCCTGAAATAATGCTGGTGTCTGAAGTTTGGGTTAACCAACGATCATGGGCAGGGTGCTAGCAAACCCGGACACATAAACGGGTCGAACAATGATTTGATTCTCCAATCCTAGGGTTCTGGAGCGATCAAGGGACGCAACTCTGCACAGCGATTTGTTGGCTACTGGAATAGTCGAAGCCCAGACGTTTTAAAACAAGCGGAATTATCCAAAGGCGAGAGAACGCGGGATTTCGCCAAAATCTCTGGTGATCGCGACGGGCGGTTGGGTAGCCTAGTGGTTAAGGCGTTTGCTCGGCACGCATAAGACCCTGGGTACAATGAGTGAAGCCCATTTCTGGTGTGCCCCGCCGTGATATTGCTGGAATATTGCTAAAAGCGGCGTAAAACTAAATTCAGTCACTCGTTTACGCGATATCGCATTCATGTGTTCTTTGTACATTGGCCCTTTGATAATGGGGGGGCGCAAGAACATGAAAGCTCGCGAGTTTTCGTGGGACTGCTTGACAAATCGACATGTAGTATTCTTGTACAATACCCAAAACTCAAGAAAGCACAATAGAGAGATTTACGCCATATTTACCGTTCTCACGATCTCGCATTCTCACACTTTGGCATATTCAACTAGTCTCCAAAGGTTGTGATCGAGAGAACTCGAGAACACGAGAATATCCCTTACAGCATTCCATAGAAACAACCACCATTGCAACAAAATGTCAGCCACTCAAGAAAAAAAGGTTATTGGCATGTTGTGGTCTTATTGCAAAAACGCTTGACATGGGCACGGAGCTCCGACACAACGGAAATGATACCGCTGTGCAACTGTGGTTGCTATGGACGCCCGTATCCTAGTAATTACGTCCCCCGAGGTACTATTGTGCGGCCGACTAATCACAACATGTCATATATATCAATAATTAATCTAGCGGCAGACATGATCCAGTGATATAATATACAAAAGGTAATCTCAGACGTGATTAATAAACCCGTTTCATTGGCAACTCTTCGCCGTTGCCGTCCTGGTTCTTCTCTCTCTTATTATACCTGGCATTGTTCTCCTGATATTGGAATATTTCTCGATTGGTGTACATCTCGCTAGAATTACATCTGGATGATGTACACTGTCTGGAGCAACGTTACACGTGTGTATACCATGACTGGAGGCATAATGTGGATTCCCAGGACTTGTTACCAATCCGACTGTGAACCTTTCGGTGTGAAGACCCACGAGAACCAGTATCCGATTATCGTGGGTTAGAAACCCAGTGGTGGCCCTATCGACTTATGCGAGGGATTCGCTTTGAAGAGTTGTGTTCCTTTGGTTCGTCAGTATCCAATGATCTGGTTCCCTTCGCGATATTGGTTACAGGTTTAATAATATCATAACTATTTTTTATTACATGTACTTTGGGCTTTCCTTGAATTGGATTACTGTTCAGATCGGCGTTAAAACACTCACTCACTCACTCACTCACTCACTCACCCACCCACCCACACACACACACACTCACCCACCCACCCACCCACTCACTCACTCACTCACTCACTCACTGTACTATCATTGGCTGAGTAGAGTGAGGTCACAGTAAATCTTTTCAGTATAAATGTAACAATAAAGCAATGGTAAGGAGGATAAGGATTGTTGCCACATCCATGTTCCTATATTTCTCTTGAGAATTATCCAGGTATACTGAATATCTTCAGAAGTTATACCATTTGCGTGCATTGATTAAAATTTAATTTGAGTGTGTGATCTTTGCCATTTGATGTTTAATTAAGCAGTCAATAAACCGATGGTCACGGTATTGTTGTGATACAAAATTGCTAAAACGGACCAGTTCACAATTAGATCGTCACGCCTTCAGCTTTTGCACAGATTCCGGGTCAGAATAGGTCACCAGTAGCCCATGATTGTCTGTCTGTTGAGAAACTTGCTCAGAGCAGGCCCAGATGCTCCACAACTCCCTGCCAACGGTGACACCGGGTAAGTTTGGTTTGGTTGTTGTTTTACGCCGCACTCAGCAATATTCCAGCTATATGGCGGCAGTCTGTAAGTGATCAAGTTTGGACCAGATAATCCAGTGATCAACAGCATGAGCATCGACCTGTGAAATTGGGATACGATGACATGTGTCAGCCAGCCTGACCACCCGATTCCGTTAGTCGCCTCTTACGACAAGCATAGGTTGGTGAAGATCAATTCTAACCCGGATCTTCACGGGTAGGATAGGAACAGCCCCTAATACCCAATGTTTGTCTTTCGGGGATTACACCGGATGGGAATAGACCCCAGTAGCCCATGTTTGTCTTTACAGGGTGACACCGGATAGGAATGGAAACCCAGTAGCCCATGTTTGTCTTTACAGGGTGATAGCAGATAGGAATGGAAACCCAGTAGCTCATTTTTGTATTTACAGGGTGACACCGGATAGTAATAGACCCCAGCAGCCCATGTTTGTCTTTCCACAATGACACCGGATAGGAATGGAAATCCAGTAGCCCATGTTTTTCTTTACAGGGTGACACCGGATAGGAATGGACGCCAGTAGCCCATGTCTGTCTTTCCACAATGACGTCGGCAAAAGAATGGAAACCCAGTAGCCCATGTTTGTTTTTACAGGGTGACACCGGATAGGAATGGAAACCCAGTAGCCCATGTTTGTCTTTACAGGGTGACACCGGATAGGAATGGACGCCAGTAGCCTATGTTTGTCTTAACAGGGTGACACCGGATAGGAATGGAAACCCAGTAGCCCATGTTTGTCTTTACAGGTTGACACCGGATAGGAAGGGAAACCCAGTAGCTCATGTTTGTCTTTACATGGTGACACCGGATAGGAATGGAAACCCAGTAGCCCATGTTTGTCTTTACAGGGTAACACCTGATAGGAATGGACGCCAGTAGCCTATGTTTGTCTTTACAAGGTGACGCCTGATAGGAATGGAAACCCAGTAGTCCATGTTTGTCTTTACAAGGTGACACCTGATAGGAATAGAAACCCAGTAGCCTATGTTTGTCTTTACAAGGTGACACCTGATAGGAATAGAAACCCAGTAGCCTATGTTTGTCTTTCCAAAATGACACCGGATAGGAATGGAAACCCAGTAGCCCGTGTCTGTCTTTCCACAATGACACCGGATAGGAATGGAAACCCAGTAGCTCATGTTTGTCCTTACAGGGTGACACTGGATGGGAATGGAAACCCAGAAGCTCATGTTTGTCTTTCCACAATGACACCGGATAGGAATGGAAACCCAGTAGCCCATGTTTTTCTTTACAGGGTGACACCGGATAGGAATGGAAACCCAGTAGCCCATGTTTGTCTTTACAGGGTGACACCAGATAGGAATGGAAACCCAGTAGCCCATGTTTGTCTTTACGGGTGACACCGGATAGGAATAGACGCCAGTAGCCTATGTTTGTCTTTCACTATGACATCGGATAGGAATGGAAACCCAGCAGCCCATGTTTGTCTTTCCACAATGACACCGGATAGGAATGGAAACCCAGTAGCCCATGTTTGTCTTTACAGGGTAACACCTGATAGGAATGGACGCCAGTAGCCTATGTTTGTCTTTACAAGGTGACGCCTGATAGGAATGGAAACCCAGTAGTCCATGTTTGTCTTTACAAGGTGACACCTGATAGGAATAGAAACCCAGTAGCCTATGTTTGTCTTTCCAAAATGACACCGGATAGGAATGGAAACCCAGTAGCCCGTGTCTGTCTTTCCACAATGACACCGGATAGGAATGGAAACCCAGTATCCCATGTTTGTCTTTCCAGGGTGACACCGGACTCGATTATTTCCAGGCAACCGGTGGAAAGCGAATCATACTGAAAGTTGTGCAACAGTTACATCTTTTCTTGGACTTTACTTAATTTGAACCCACGCTACACAACCTTCATCTACAATGGCTCTTTAAGCGTCGGCGCTAGATATCGGCGGAGGCGCGGTGGCGATACGGGGCCATTAACGGCTCGGATGTTCCACGTCGTACAAATGGCACCATGATAACGTTGCATGTAGTCTATCGCACTTAATGTTCGTGAAGACCGTGGATGTTGCTCACGATCAGGTTCACAGGGGGATACATTCTTTTGTAGTTTCCAGTTTCAAAGGTCTGATTTTAAAGTTTCTAGTTTCTGAAATTCCAATCGTGTTTCTGAAAAAGGAACGAAGTTAGAGTGAGTGTGTGAGTGAGTATGTTTTTACTCCGCTTTTAGCAATGTTCCAGCACACGGCGGAAGACACCAGAAACGGGCTGTTCACATTGTGACCATGTGGGGAATCGAACCCGGGTCTTCGTTTCGAGCTAACGCTTTAACTACTGGACTGCCCCACCGCCCCGAACGCACTTACGGAAGAGTATGTAGATTACTGCAGCTGCAGTTTACTTCCTGTTCCGGTCTGGGTTTGAAACGAATTTGGTTCAACGCCACACGCCAAGACTGCTCCAGTAAAATCACGGCCTGTCAGCTTAATGTGGGAGAAAAGCCCGAAGTAACCTTCGACGTTTTATCCCAATCA